CGCGAGAAGATGGGTATTTTTTAATGGTTCTCCGGCCGCATCGCCATCACTTTCTAGTACAAACACGGCAGTAATCACTGATATAGTGTAACATACGAAACACTTAAAAAGCTCACAAAAGCAAGCCAAATTCAGCACGACATCAAATTCCAGTGAACACCTGTAACATTCCGGGCAAGGTGCCGATAAAGCTGCACGACAAGCACATTGTAAAGATGCTTTTGTTTGTTTACCAATCTCTAAATATGAATTGTGGAGTGTTATAAAGACAATTTTTCGAATGAGTAAAACTGCTTGGTTTGACCAAAGCACAAAGAGCTGTGATTCATATCATATTGACGCATTCATTCAAAATTACGCTAGCATGCATGACATAGAAGTACGGAAACACTTATTCACTGGTTAAGGCTAGGCAACGTATCCACAAAACATTTCTCACACATTGCTGGCAAAGCTCAAATTCCGGAATGCGAATGTGGATTTGTGGATAAAGATGTATGTGACCGTCTTATCGACTGCCCACATCATGACACGCCGAGACGCCGCCTTGAATCGGAACTATTGACGCTAGAGCGCAGGCCATTCAGTGTCAAGAAACTTTTGGGCCTTTGGCCAGCCGGATCCTTACACTAAAACTCTAAAAGTGTTACAACGTTTTTTGTTTTTTAGAAACACAGCGAGATATCTGGTAATTACTAAGAAATAAGGAAGAACTTTCATTCATATAGCACACGCACCACTTGTTATACGCAGTATTGTATGGCACGCACCCATAATGTGCGTGTGCTGAAGGGCACGAACGAAATACTGTGAAGTTTAAAACCTTACTAGAAACTCATTTTACAACCGCACCGTCGTAGTTTCTGTGTAGCCAGTTACCTTTCTCTCATTTTTGTAATCGTACTATTAGTTGTATAACGAGTTATGTTTTTACTATTGCCATGCAATTTCGATTCTTGAATTTTAACCTACTTTATGTTTGCGGTGTGGAATTGCTTCTGTGTATCCTTGTTCGACCCCCCCCCCCCCCTTATGTAATACCCCGTCAGAGGCCCTTAAAGGAAAATAAATGATGAGGATGATGATGGTGATGATGATGCGTCAACTGATGTCCACATGAGCGAATTCATCCCCATAAGAACCAGACGTGTGTACTGTTGTGTTGTGCCGGTTGGGTTCAATGACAACCAGATACATTATTATAGAAACATTATGGATTGACTTTCGGACATTTGTTTACACGTTGTGATGGTTTTGTTTGATATGTCCTTGTCCGTGTGTTTTTACATATGTGTACTTGTGTCTTATTTTCCATCTACTGCTCCTTATTTTTCCTTTAGTATGTATGTCCAATATTCACTCAAGGCTAAATAATAACCGGCGCCTTAATTGTGCGCCAACATCTCCTTATATATCATTCAATAAAAAAGAACCCCAAAATGATATAAGGAAGTCAAGCACTGCTTTCTACAGCGTTGCAAGTTTGACTGTTCAGGCAGCATGAAGATGACGTCGATGAGATTCATCATCATCATCATCATCATCATCATCATCATCATCATCATCAGCCTGACTACCTCCACTGCAGGACAAAAGACTCTCCCATGTTCCGCCAGTTAACCCGATCCTGTGCTTGCTCCTGCCAATTTATACCCGCAAACTTCTTAATCTCATCTGCCCACCTAAACTTCTGTCGTCCCCTAACCCGCTTGCCTTAATCCAGTCAGTTACCCTTAATGACCTAATGACCAGCGATTATCCTGTCTACGCGCTACATGTCCTGCCCATGTCAATTTCCTCTTCTTTATTTCAGCTATGATATCCTTAACCTCCGTTTCTTCCCTAATCTACTCTGCTCTCTTCTTGTCCATTAAGGTTACACCTACCATTTTTCTTTCCATTGCTCGCTGCGTCGTCCTCAATTTAAGCTGAACCCTCTTTGTAAGTCTCCGGGTTTCTGCTCCGTAGCTAAGTACCGGCAAGATACAGCTGTTATATACCTTCCTTTTGAGGGATAGTGGCAAACTACCTGTCATAATTTGAGAGTGCTTGCCAAATGTGCTCCACCCCATTCTTATTCTTCTAGTTACTTGAATCTCGTGGTTTGGCTCCGCGGTTATTACCTGCCCTAAGTAGACAAAGTATTTTTTTACAACTTGAAGTGCACTACCTATCTCGAAGCGCTGCTCTTTTCTGAGGTTGTTGCACACTACTTTCGTTTTCTGCATATTAATTTTAAGACCCACCTTTCTGCTCTCCTTGTCTAACTCCGTAATCATGAGTTGCAATTCGTCGCCTGAGTTACTCAGCAATGCAATGTCATCGGCGAAGCGCAGGTTACTAAGGTACTCTTCATTAACTCTTATCCCTAGCTGTTCCCATTCTAGGCTTCTGAAAACCTTCTGTAAGCACGCGGAAAACAGCATTGGGGAGATTGTGTCCCCCTGCCTTACACCCTTCTTGATTGGTATTCTGTTGCTTTCTTTAGGAAGCACTACGGTAGCAGTTGATCCCCTGTAGATTTGTTCGAGGATGTTTATATATACTTCATCGACATAAGAAAGGAGATGACAAGGACTTGAAGAATTACAGGCCGATCAGCTTGCTCTCTGTAGTATACCAGCTATTTACAAAGGTAATTGCAAGAGTAAAGAAAACATTAGAATTCAATCAACCAAAGGAACAAGCAGGATTTCGAACGGGCTACTCAACAATCGACCACATTCATACTATCAATCAGGTAATAGAGAAATGCTCAGAATATAACCAACCACTATACATAGCCTTTATAGATGACGAGAAGGCGTTTGATTCAGTTGAAGTATCAGCCGTCATGCAGAAACTGCGGAATCAGGGCGTCGATGAAATATATGAGATTAGTTTACATTAATTTGTCTGAACTTTGTCCTCCTGGCTTCGCATGGGGTTCGTGACATTGTAGGTAAATTTATTTTCTGCGAAATATTTTGCTCTGGGGGAGAGTAATCGCAGTGAATATGCATGGGCAGTGAGATCGATTGCTTTGCAGTGTTTGAAAGTGATTGGGAACTTTTTTTAAAGAGCAGGAATAACCCCACTGGCACGTGAAACTCGACAAGCTCGTAATTTCTCATGTCTATCGCGGAGAAGAACGATCTATTTATTTATCGATTTAGAGAGTCCTCTCAAACTGTAGGCATTGATTGGGTAAGGTGGGCATCACAAAATAAATGATCGCATATAATAAATACATATTATCATACAGGATGAAGTGGCTGAAAGCAGAAATATAACCGTTCTTGTACATTCTATTATTGGCTAACAATAATTCTGGAGGCAAAAATAGCAAAGGAAAGGAGTAGTTCGACGCATTATACAGAACATCAAACTGATACAGTTTGAGAGAACATCAACAGATACCTATCGTACACGCGTAGGGAATTCAAAGTGAGAAATATTAGAGTAAAAAAAAATGAGCAGGAAGGAATAACAAACTCTTATGAAGGTTCGAAATAGATTGTTATTTCTCGCCTGTAATTTGTCACCGTCGATGCGCTATATGCATTTCCTCTGAAATCTGGCATCGTGGGCCCGTTTAGTTTGTGGCATAAAGACGCTTTCCTGAAAGAAAAAAAAAAAACAAGGAAATGGAAAAAGAAATCCTTGTGCGGCCGCATCGCACTGGGCGTGCGCAAGCTGCGTGCAAATGGATTGCAGTTGCGGACAGAGCCGGCCCTTCCCATTTGTGGGTCTGCCGAGAGCAAGGGCTTGTTCCATGCGACTTGAGGCTCTTATCGCTGAGGACAGGCCCCTTGCCACCGCTACCCTTGCTTCTGGACTGCTGCTCGTGTTGCTGACGACCGTGCCACTGCTCACTTAATCTTTTCTCTTGTTTCCACTTTTCTCCCTTTTCCCTTCACCGCAGGCACTGCGCCGTGCTCCCGACCGGGTTGCAGAAATTAGGTGCCTTTTCTCATCTTCTAACCACTACCACCACCACCACTTGAGGCTCGCTCTATCGTTTGCTCCTTGAATGCACACCGTTTTGGCTCTCATCCGGAACTACTCAAACGCAGTTGGTGCGTGGCATGCGGTGGATTTAATTAAAAAAAAACTGTGCGCATAATGACTCGACGTCACGCATCTGCCACACGCGTGTAAAACCGCTTGTCACACACGGGGACGTTCCCGTCCCAGCCGCCACCTTGCGTACGTGTATGTTCGGAATATCGAATGATTGATGTGCTGACACAAGCAGCGGCTGCCTCGATTTATGCGCGGTTTCATTTGTCCGTTAAGAACTTATTCCGTTACCCGCTTCGACCGGTCCGGCGATGCGTCAATCGCCAAAGCTGCTATTGTGTGCGGCGCGCTCTCACTGTCTAGCGAATACTGACTGTTTTAGGGGGAAACCCGGCAAGGCCGGCGGCTTGCCTCCGGCCGTGCTCGCCTCTTCTCTTTTCCTGGTATGCGCCCCGATTGGCAGCGGCGGCGATATCTGGTGCGGGCCGATATTGCGCACTCTCTGGGGACCCGTCGCTCGCGGCATGCCTCCCCCCCCCCCCCCCCACTCTCCGGCGACTGGCCATCGGCGCGTGCCACCGGTCAGCCTGATTGCGCCGCTGATCCTCTCCTCTGAGAAAAATTGCTCGATCGTATTCAGCCCCACGTTCGCCTTCTCGCGGATGTTTATGAAATCTCTCTCAGCAGAAACGACTCGCTTGGCACATCACGTGTCTTCTCTTTTTTTCTCTCACTTCTCGTCGCTCCTTCGACAGCGCGGGACTTTCTTTTCTCGATTCCGCTGCAGTCGCGAGTTTTCTCTCGGTGGATGCAACGTGCGCCGCCGTCGCGTGTGTGACGCAACGACGCTGCAAGCGGACTGCGACGGGTCGATCCTCTCCCGCGCGACGATGTGGTTTTGAGGGGAATACTGTTCCGCGTGTGTTTTTCGTGCATCACTTGCCTTCGCGTGCTGTGCGAAGAAGCTGAACTTGACGGTTTTGGCTCTCCTTCCGCAGGCGCCGACTCGCCGCGCGAATCTGCAGCACCGACCGAGTGACGGACGAGCAGCGCACCATCTGGGCCCATCTCGCAACAGGTACGGCTTCTTCTTCTTCATATACTGCCGAACTTCGCGTTTTTTTTTTTCCAGCTTGGCAGTGGAAGCCTCAAAACAACGCTGCGCGCTTCGCGAAAAAAACGGCGTGTCTCGTCGATCTTTGCACTTTTCATTGTTTCGTCGCATTTTGCGTGCGCACTCTTCCGTAATTTGCTTGCGCTTCAGGGGCGATCCGCTGAGCTCGAGCAAACAGTCTGGCCGCTGATGTTTTTTTTCTCCCGAGCGAATTGTGTGTTTGCTCCTGAGGCGCACTTTGCTAACCGAGTCGAGGCACTCTTCCTGCTGAGTTGCGGCCTTTGGCAACTGCAGAGACGAGGTGTTTTCGTGCTTTGCCGTCCTCTGTGTCCGAGCGATCGGCTTCAGAGTATACAGTTGGCAAATTCATTTCCCTCCGCGTGTCTTGCCGTTTCGCCTCCAGCATAGGACACTTCTGTCGATGCATCTGTAGAAGAGTGTCAGTTCTGTTTCAGACCGTATAATAGGTGACCCGAAGCTGGCCTCACGTGCGTGGTTGTCAGAGCGGGTAAGTCCAGCTTGACCATAGATACCTTCGTCTTCTTTCGGCCGTTCCACAAATGGAGGTGCATTCGTTTTTACAAATATTTGTTCCACTGCTATCACCAGTGCTACAAGTGGTGGTGTTACCGGTATGGCATTACTTTGCTTTTTTTTTTCGTACCATAGAAACATAACTCGTTACCATTTTTAAGCTGTAACGGGTAACGTGAGCTTCATTTTTTTTCGTGACTGAATTGTCACATTTCACCGTAATAATAAATACAAGCTTCGCCCTGCCTGTTATTCATCTGTGTCACGGAGTGGCGCTTGGCGGGTTTTATTCTGGCTATATGTGTGTTCTCGCTGCTAATGTAAATACCACATCCCTCTTGAAAATGTTACTTTTGGCTAAGCAGGGATGATTTGGAAGCTTCGCTTAAATTTACCAGGAAGCTCAAGTTTTTTTATCGAAAGCTAACGACAAAAACTTCAGCTATATATGGGATAATCACATGCATGCCTGAAATACGCCGGAAGTGATTTACGTCACGTAATTAAGCAATTGTGATAGGGTATCTACGCAAATTTGCTGCGGGTTGGACAGCGACATTTAGTCTGCTTACATTTAGTCTTACATTAGTCTTACATTCATTCTTACATTACATTCTCACATTACATTCAGTCTTACGGAGCTTGCATTTAGTCTGCTTCTACGTTATCTCCCCCCACCCCCATAGTGTCGCCATTGTTATGGCAAATAGTCACGTAGGCTTAAAAAAGATATGTTTTGCTTGCGTCATTAAGGGTTTTGTGGGCATGTTTGTAGAATGCCCTTTCTTTAATGCAGATCATTTCTTAGTCGCGTGATGCCGCGCATCTCCGTCGGCACCGTCCACACTGCGCAATGCTCGGCTCGCGTCTTGCCTCTGCCTCGTCTCCTTTGAACACCAGCGGTGTGTATAAAGCGGCGGAGCGCGTTGTTTGGAATTCAGTGCAAGGGCGTCTCCTCTCCGTCCAATACTACGACGGCACCAAGCAATGAAGGAACACTAACTATACGCTCCTCCTTGCATTAGCCTTGTCCTTCATTCAATAAGAGACGAAGTAACAATTAAGCATTCCCAAATTATTCCCAATCACGCAACATTCACGCGATGCTCCCACCACTCTGCGACGCATTTACTCGAGTTTCCCCGTAGGAAAGTGCGGGTGCCAAATTTTCTAACTTTATATCATGTCTTTTTTTACTTTTATTCAATATAAGCTCACATCGAGTATTTCGGAAAACCACGTTTATTTCAAAATTAATTGCTATACATTTGTCGAAAGTTGAGCAGCGCTATCTTTGCATGAGATGTAGCGTATAACGGTAGTCCAGTTTGGTCTCTAATTTTACCAAAATTTATTGAGAATATTAACTGCACTGTTGCCCACAGTGATCGAACGCATCGGATGTGAGTAACATTATAGGTCACTAATAGTCTGCCTCGGTGGATCAGTGGCTATAGGGTGTTTGGCTGCTGACCCGAAGGTCTGCGGGTTCAGCCGCGGCAGTCGTATTTCGATGCAGGTGAATCGCTATATGAGGCCCGTGTATACTGGGCCATGTTAGTGAAGAACACGTTAAAGAACCCCAGGTGGTCGAAATTTCTGAAGCCATCCACTATACGGCGTCTCTCATAATCATGTGGTGGTCTCGGAACGTAAAAACCTCAAGCATTAATATTAATAATAGGCCACTAATATTGCTAAAGGCCTGTAGATTTGTTGAAAGCTTTATCGTGAAACTATATAGTGTTTCTGTTGACAGCTTTTTTTCTTCTTCTATAAGCTGTATGTAAATTGTGACGTTTAATTTTTTTCTGTTTTCTATTGCTACAATAAAGACGTGCTACCTAGTATTTCTGACCGTGGAATAACGATTAAGTAACCCCCCCCCCCTCTCGCACCCCCTTTTTTGTCTTTTTTTCGGAAACTGTGACGCTAATTGATTAAACAACCTAAGGCAGTAACGCCTTTCTTTAATGCAGTTGTGACGAGTAAACTTGTTTACTTCATTTTCGGTTGTGTCTACAGCTTTGTTTATCTCATACGCGCGTTCTGGATGCGGCTTCAGGAGACGCAGCTGTAGCATTTAATGTTAATGAAACAAACGCAATACTCTGCCGCAGCGCAAATGAGGTGCTCGAAACGCATGCATAGCGCTCTTTTTTGTGCGTTTGATATGTGAAGTGTTACTTATCAGCTATTGCTGATAAGTAACACTTCACGTTTACTGCTGTGCACCATATAGACTCGTCATTGTGTCGCATCATATTAATTTTTTTTTTGCTCTTCCTTGCCGCGCGTCGCCATTCGATGGTTAGGCGTCGGCTGTTAGGATTACCAAGTCCACTCATGAGTGAATCATGTGTAGGTTGCTACAACGAATGACCGGTGTTTATATTGTTACGGAGTTCATGGACACCTTTCTTGGCAAACCATGTCCGCGTTTAACACCGATATTAGGAAGTACCGCGAGTCCTTGCGGTGGTGCGGTCGTTGCCACTGCGCATGCGTCGTAACGCGAGTCGGCGTTCGCGGACTGCACGCAGACAATCCGAAATTGCGTGCGGGGATGGCGGCCCGCATGTGGCCCACAAGCGCTGGTTTTGAGGCTACGGTGTCGCTGCAACCGTGCGTTGCGGTTTGCAGCAGGGCAAACGCTATTCTGAAACTCGTATGGCGCCCGCTACGCCCGCAGCGCTTGCAAACGGTATTCTAAAACTCCCTATTGCCTACCCTGCCAAAAAGTTGGAAAGCTCTTGTCGCGGCCGGCCGTGTTCCGCTGGCAATCGTCTCTCGCGAAGTTGGCACGGTATACGCGTTGAATTTGTATGTCCGCTGAAGATGCATCGCAGGTACTCCTGTCATATAGATTTCGTGATTGCATAACCGTCGCCTGTTCATAATGTTCTGAGTTTTATTTTAATATTCAATAGTCGCCCATTTTCCCCCCTGTTTGCGTTGTCTTTTTTTTTTTTTTCGTCGTGTCTGCCATGCCTCCCTGTTCCTCAGTTCGTCTGGCATGTTTTTTCCCCCTCGGTATTCTTGTACACTGCGACTATCTATCGATGGCTATACAGTTGAAAAAAAAAGTCAAGCAGCGTCACAGTATGCAGTCTGAAAAACCACCTTTCATAATAGCAGCATCTTTTTTTTTTTTTCAGAAATTTCCCGCAGCATCAACGTCCTCAATTGAGTAAAAGCAATTTTTTTGTACGTTTAAAAGAAAACCAAATGTCGTATATAACGAGAGAGCGTCTAGGAGGCAAATCGCGTCGTGGTTTTTCTTCTACTAAATTTTTGTTCAGTTGTGTATACAGATCCTATAGGGGTGGCGCGTCTTGTATTCCTTGTGTTCACAGTGTTGGCGATCACGCGGGTTCTGTAAGCGATACGATGTTTTGCTATAGCGTGTAGCCGTTAGTGGCGCTATGCGGGCGACCAATGGGGAAAGCCTCACTTCGACGCTGCTGGAAGCGCTGGCTTTAACAGCGCTGCGAGGCGGTGGCACAATTGCTTCGAGCGACGAAGGAGGAGCACACACAAAAGAAATACAAATCTTGCAGACGTATGACAAGGTCAATCTAAATGAGTCGCGGAAGTCGAAACGAAAATTGGTCCGAAACCTATTGCGACAGACATCAACTACCGCGTGACGATTGAAGCGCGACTATAGGTGAGGATGGAACAAACAACCAAAACTAAAGAAAAACTATTCTTTTTTTCCTCGAAATTGTCGCAATTTTACTATAAATGTCAAAGTTAACTGTAAACGTGCTTTACGGTGTATCTCAAACCTGGATTAATGGTTGATCGCCTCAATTTTTTGCCGAGTGCCTTAAATGCGGAAGGGTGGGCGTATCCTGGTAATTTTCTATCAGAGCTGTTTAGTTTAAGCGTGTTCAATTGGATCGGCGCATTCCCAGGTCAACGAGGCATCGCTCACGTTTCCGTGCTGGTTTCGTGCGTACCTTCAGAAGTTTGAGCTTCAGTAGTGAACTAGCTCACAGAATGTGTAGATAGCCGCTCCTGTGACTACCGACTGCTTTCGCTGGCGCACGGCCGGCGTGCCCTCGCCTGTATGGTGACGGTGAACGCGACACGCTAAGCAACGAGACGCTGTACTCTGCGGCTTCCAAAGCTATATTTTCAAAGGTACCGTCTCGCTGCAGTGGTTTTCGATGATTGGCAGTTTGCGAGCTATTACGCTATTGTGCTCGTGAACATTTGTGTCAAAATTGCATCTGCGAAGATTTTTGTGCATATTGTGGAGTACGTCATTTGGCTGATGAAACAACTTTGCTTCCTTAATCTTTGTTTTTTTTTTCTCTGTCATGCAATTAGCGAGCTGCAGGGCGCAATAATGTCGCGTATGAATAAAGGCACGTAAAGGCGTCAGCAATAAAAGAAAAACTTCAAATTGGCGCCATGTAGGT